CTTAATAGGAATTAAGATGACAATTTCCTGTACCACTTTGTAAATTAAAAATTTTCTATTCTACTGTGCTTAAATTAATTCAGTTTATTAAGAAGAGAATGTCCCTTTAATTCAACAACTATTCTTTCTAAAAATCGCACAATTTTATTTTTTAAAATAAATAATAATTTACGACCTTCAATTGATATATAATATCATCGATATCCCATGAATCTTTGTGCATTGCCAGTATGTGGGCAATTTACATAGTGCTAATATGTCTACCCTTTGGGGTCTTAGGAGGTATGTATACATTTCTTTTCAAATTAAAGATAGCCGCGGTGGCTCAGTGAGTTAGACTCTTGCTCGCCAACCTGAAGGTCCAGGATTCAATCCCGGCATAGGTCGAGATAATACCTTCGGATTTTTCAACCCGGTTTCCCCGTCAGTGATGCAGGTAAGAGGGGCTGAAATGGAAAAAAACGTCTAGTCGTTCGGATAGGACAATAAACCGAGGCCCCGTGTGCTACAGGCTGCGCACGTTAAAGATCCCTCGACAGTTAGAAATCGAAAAAGAGCAGGCCAATGCCGCTGTCCTGGCAAAAGTTCCCTTATCGCACCCTGCATGGCGTTGCCCGTCTTCATTAGCCCACATAGTGCAGAAAAGTAGGACGTAAAACTCCATTCATTTCATTGCATTTCTTTAAAATGTTTGTGTTTTGAGGTGAGGGTGGGTTGTTCTATTGTCGTATTCAAAGAGAGACATAACCATAATGACATTTACACAAATATATCAAGACGAGAGAGGATGGTGTAAGTAAATATATAAAAAATAAATATAATAGCATCAATACTTCAAAATATAATATCAATATAATATATACTGGTTATTCCGTTTCGCAGTAGCAAAATACAAAAAATTTATCATGTTTTTTCTAGAACATTAATATTTCTGAAATTTAATATGGTCATTTAATTAGGTTATCAGCTTGAACAAAGATGGGTTATTCCAGTAGTATTTATTGATAAAATACATCTGGAGGGTGTTGAACGATGAACAATAAAATGGTATGCGTCCTCTATTTCATTTTCATTGTAATATGAACACACTCTCTGGCTTCTATCAATATTAACGTATCGACCCTTTTAAACCATCAAATTATGTGCGGAAATATGATATTTACATATCAAGTTTTTATAATTAATAGTTGAACATAAATAAAACGATATTTCGAAGTTTTTTTTGTTGATAATTTTGGTATATATAACATCTTCGATTTCATATCTCGTCATATATTTTGTACGTGGTGTCTTTAATTCTCTGAGTAAAAGCATTGATGAATGCTGTCCATACTAAACAGAATCCAGTTTCTTCCAAAATGTTTGAACGAAATGAATCTATACAAGTATAACATGCTTTTGGGACAACATTGCTGCTGGTGATTTTATTTAACCAATATTTTTGTCCCATCCGAACGACCAGACACTTTCTCAAATCAGCCTCTCTTATCTGCATCACTGACAGGGGAAACCGGCTTGAAAAATCTGAAGGTACTGTCTCGGGATTGAACCCCGGACCTTCATGTTAGAGATCAAGCGTCTAACTAACTGAACCACCGCGACTCCCAGCAATATTAAAATAATTTTCATACATAACTTTTTTTAATTCTGAATGGTAATGTATTTTTCGTGTGTTATTAAGACGAATGATCTAATTTGAACACAATACCAAAATATTTTCATATACCCAATACCCGTTTCCAGAGTTTCTAAAAATTACAATTTTTGTCGTACTGACATTAACATTATGAACTTGAGAGCAGCTGCTTACTACGTTTAACATATCTTATAAGTTCTCCTGAGTTTCACCCGCATGCATGATAATTAATACTAGACCTTGTCTTAGTCGGCTAAGCTGCTAGACTCAGACTTCAGTTTACTACGACTGCTTCATGGATTTTGTTATAATATGGTATAAATTAACGAGATTATTTTTGCATTCTAAAATATTATTTTAAAAAATTTCTATACAAACAACTTAGAAAGAGAAATTCAAACTATCAGAAAATGTGATATTTTTTAAGAATAAACGATTAGTAATTAACTTTGTAAGGGGCGAGTGATGACCTCCTTTACAAATAAGATGCGTTTGACACTTAGCAAAAGTTTCGTACACGCAAAAGTCGACTTCTGTCAAACACTAAGCTGCTCTTCCACCTCGGCTTTAAGCTGGAAAACCATGACTTTATAATCGGAAAATATTTTAACTTCCGATTAGTGACGTCTCAATTTCCTCTAGATGCTTCTAAACACGATCAAATCAATTTTTTTCCTTTTCGTGATGGACGTTCGCTTTTATAATAATTTTAATGAATAAAATTTGTTAAATCGCCTATCTCCCTAAAATTGTTTGAACTCCCGTGTCATTTAGACTGTTGAAAAGTTCATTGGCTGCTACCAAAGTTTCGACAGTATGTTGCTTTGGGGTTTCGTTTATTTGGATGTCAGTAAAAACTCGAGTTTGTGGTCTAAAATCGATTATTAAAGGGTGACCTTCTGTATTAAAATTCTTATCTGATTTCCACGAAACTAGTAGGGGTTGAGACCGTTTTTTTGCAATTAACAGCTGAAAATGACCAAAAATCGTAACCGCTGAGCCACTATCTTGATAAAAGAAAATCGTCTGAAAAAAAATTATTGCAGACGCCGATTTGTTTAAAACTTGTTTTTGAATGAATTTGGATAATCACCAAGGACCACTAAGGCACTTTTGAATATCGATTTCGTCTCCTCTGGTAACTCCTGACCTACCACAACCTTAATTTTTCTCCTTTGGCTATTTTTGCAAGTGATACCTTAGACTTTTAATTTTGGTTTTTACTTCTGGTTTTGTAGGGCACAAAATTGGTAATCTTCGAAATATTATATCATATGAAAGTATACCTTATTATTGTTAAAAAGAAACTGTTGGTTATATACAGTTTTGAAAAAAGGTGATTTTAATATTCATAAAGTCCATTGTTTGAGTTGTATAGTCCATTGTTTGAGTTGTATTTAACTTAACAAAATTCTTAAAACTGAATTAAAATGTATAAATTCACAGCTTCAATAATTATATAAATATACATAATAAAAAATTATAAAGGAGCTCAGAAGCTAGCATATCTGTATCAAAATAGGTCTAGTTTTGTAATTGTAACTGTCCATCTACAAGCAATTATAGTTATCTGCTTGGTTTTCGAGGTGTATGGCCGTGTATATTCTTCTTAGATTTCGGGGAAGGGTAGCGTTGATTCTCCCAGTATACCGGCCTAGGATGGAAAAATACTTCATTAAAAAAATAAATTAAAGGTCTAGAACTGCGGGGTATTTTTGTTCTTTCTGATCTAATAATAACTCGTCCAGGGTTAGAACATTTTCAGGTAACGACGCCATTCTGGAAACCGGATGTTATGCTTTCACAACATCTCGGTTAGAGTGTGGAAGTCATTTCTTCTCATTATACCTACGGACGGGGGATCAATGCCGAGATATTTGGGTAGGGTAGAAACAGTTATCCGTGTAAAAAAGGGTTCTGTCTTCCCATACAGCATTTTACGTGTCTCTGTTGAAAATGTGGCTGTCTATGTTAGTCCATAGACCCCCCACCCCCTTTTTTTTGTTCTTACTACCCTGAATACAGATGACAATCGTAAAGTTGGGCTCCGTCTGACCAAAGAACTTTATGTCTCTATGGCTACTGAACTGTTTAGACATGGAGGAATTTCTCATGCAGACTCTCATAATGGGCTTGGCTTTCCTCCCTTCTCGATTGTCGGTATTGAACGAGACAACAAATAGTGCTATGCTTGCATTATGAAGATTATTCAGTCCGATCCGACCTTGCTGTGTTTAGTGTCTCAATCCAATGGGTTTCCCTAGCTTAACGGAATTTCGAAATGATTAGAAACAGGCTTGTCTTTCTTTAATTTGATATCTGACCTATGAACTTTTCATTCCAGGGTTATTATTACCGTATCAAAGTTATAAAATTATAACCTCATTATTCTGAAGGCGTAGTTTAAAACACTTTGAAATTTTAAAAAGTTCAATGGCCAAATATTTTTGTAATTTCACTCTAATTTAATGTTTAATAGAACAAAGGGGCTATGTGACCTCCGTTTTCTGTACAAACCACTCACTGCTCTTTCCATGCCAGAATATTATTTTGAGGATTTCGTCAGTATGTTTTCATTCCTTTAGTCCGTAATTCTGCGGACCTCAGACGCCACGACTCAAAGACAGACGCCACAGTTATCAATTTATTTTGATGTAATTTAGAGTTTAATTCGATGAACACTTTTGGAAAGTTGTATTGCTTAAACATGATTCATAATGGTAAATTATTAAAAGAAAAAAATCAATACAGCTTCTGTGTGGGCGTATTATCTGTTATCTGGTGATATTTGTACCTATGTTGTTGTATGAATGGTGAAGCTTAAGACCTTTCGACTGGAAATAGTATAGATTTTTTATTATTATTACCATTCTTGAAATTCCACCATGAACTTTATTTTCTAATGGGTATATTTCAAATACAATGGCTCTTTAAAAACGTTAACACTTTTCTAAAACTATAAGAGATTAATTGTGATTTTTGTCTTTTATTTTTTATTAGAATCAATTCCTGAAGATGAACCATGTGATCCAGGTTTGTAATTATTATTATCATTGGAAATCAAATGATTTTCTTTGAAGTGCTACCATCAACTTTTTTTTCTAATGAGTTTACAAAGACTTTAAGAAGTTTTTACAATTTTTAAAACTATTAAAAAAAAAAAATTCTTAGTCTTAATGTGAGTTTTGTCCTTATCTTTCATAAGCAACAAATCTTTGTGACAGTGATCCTTGTTATAATGCTAGAATTTTTGCTACAACTTGAATTTGTGAACAATGACTTTTTGATTACGTTTACAATTTTCTAAAACTTTAAAGAGACTTGCCTTAGTCTTAATGAGAGTTTTGTCCTTTTTCTTCATTAGAATTAAATCCGTGTGACAGTCATCCTTGTTATAATGGTGGAACCTGTTGTCCTACATCTGGAATGGAGTATTACTGTGACTGTCCTAAAGGTTACGAAGGTGATAAATGTCAAACAGGTTTGTAAATATTATAATCATTGGAAATCACAAATAATTTTCTTAAAATCCTGTAACAAAGACTGCAGTAGTGTGCATATATTTATATTTAGTATATTGAATATTATAATGCTATTTGTATTTTGCATGTTATCTATACCAATTAGTCTTCTACGTTCTCCAATAACCTTAAGTCACTACAACTGGAGGGATGTTTAGCTGTGACTGTCCTAGAGGTTTCAAGGGCAAAACATGTGATATAGGTTTGCCAATTTTACCTATTTTGAAAATCTAAACTTTGCAGCTTCACCACGGCCAAACCACCTGAGATAGGAAGTTCAAATTTACACAGCAACCAGTTTGAAATCTTGGCTTTGCAATGCCACAAACCGCGATTCCATATCTGCCTTACTTTGGAAGCACTGAGCGTTTTAGTTTTGTCCATGAAAAACCGGAATTTTTTGCACTTTTCCGCCAAAAAAAAGTGCTCAGAATTCACTTTTATGCACATTTGGGGAGAGCTAGAGAAGCACCGAGTCCAAAAAACCGGGTTTCATCGATTTTGGTACCACAGGTTACCTGTTGAAATTTGCCAATTTTGCCATTTTTGAAAAACCAAACTTTGCAGCTTCACCACGGCCAAACCACTTGAGAGAGGAAGATAAAATTTACACAGCAACTAGTTTAAAATCTTGGCTTTGCAATGCCACAAACCGCTATTCCATATCTGCCTTACTTTGGAAACAATGAGCGTTTTAGTTTTGTCCATGAAAAACCGGAATTTTTTGCACTTTTCCGCCAAAAGAAAGTGCTCAGAATTCACTTTTATGCACATTGGGGGAGAGCTAGAGAAGCACCGAGTCCAAAAAACCGGGTTTCATCGATTTCCGAGACCAAAAAAATTCGACCAAAAATGGATTTTGGTACCACAGGTAGCTACCTGTCGAAATTTGCCAATTTTGCCTTTTATGAAAATTCAAACTTTGCAGCTTCACCACGGCCAAACCACCTGAGATAGGAAGTTAAAATTTACACAGCAACCAGTTTGAAATCTTAGCTTTGCAGTGCC